ATAAAATCCAGTGAAACTAATGTAGAAGTCATTTAGAATGTAACTGGAGTGAACTAAGTAAGTATTGGAAGAAAGCAAAGATTTTAGTCTACATATGCTCCAAATGTGGCGCATAAGACAAAAAGACACTCATGACTCAGGGGTCCTGAAAACAAATGCATGCCACACTTTTCAGATTTTTGTTTCCAAAAAAATGTTTAAAACCTTTTCTTTGTCCTACCTCTTAACATTTTGTTGATCTTTAATTAAAAAAAATTCTCATATATTAGACTATAATTGGTTATTTAGTCCTGCTAAATTATTTAGTTTTTACTTTGCATTTGAATGATTTACACAAAGATCTGGAAAAATCTTAAAATAAAAAAAATGGGAATACAAGAGTATGGTGTTCCCTTTGAACAGCTTTTTGTTCATTTTTTTGTCTTGCCTTTTATAGGAAGTGATGCGACTGGCACCTCCATAATCTTTGTTGGAAAATATTCTTTATAATAATGGGGCTTAAGTGTAAGAAACATATAAAAAAATTAGATAAGGTGTTTATAGTTAATCTAATGAGATTAACTATGAATCTCATCGGATTGAAGTTGAAGTTTATATTACAGTAAGCAAATTGCATCTGACTGGTTCTTCATTAATGGGGTGTAAAAGTACATCTATTTTCTCTATAACATATTTTGCTTATTTATGCTAAATCGAGAGATCTACTGAAAAAGCTCACCTGAACCCTTGCGACCTTCCATTAATAAACCGTGCCACAGTGACAATTTAACACAAGTGGGCAGGAGAAATTGAGCTAAAGTGCTGGGGACTGAAGTAGTGTGCTTAAACGCAATTTTAAATAAGCAGCCACCTCAAACAGCTGGAATCAGTCAAACCGCATCAGACAGGAGACAAGCATGAGTCATCACATCTTATTTATTCATTGAACATGCAGTACAGCCATCTGTATGATAAATATTTTCTAATAAATATTGGCCTGCAGAAACAATAGCCTATAAATAGAGCCTGAGAATACTACAAAGAGATTTTTTTATATACCAGCTTTGACAATTGTCAGAGAACTCTTTGGAATAACATACAGTGTTTGTACATTCGATCATTCATTCAGTGCAAACAGTCGACAGCATCCAAAACATTAGATTTATGCATAAATAGATGAGTATGTCACATATTTAATTCAGTTTGGTGTCTGAATGTAATTAAGGAACACAGAAAATCTGGGATCGACGGTCACAGAAGGCTTATAGGGGTGAGGAAGTGCCAGCTGTTGGCTAGAAGTTGATTTCCCATTCATTCTCATCATATTCCAGCATACATTGAGGACAATGGTGACATCTGCTGGCCTTTTTTAAGTAGTGCAGCTAAAATTCTAAACTTTTTTTTCTTCATTTATTAAATACAAATATATGTCCTCATGGGCATAATGTATAGAAGAATTTAACTAATATAGTTAAATTAAAGGTGCAATCCAGCCGGTGCATAAATAAATGTCTAAAAAATTGTTGCACATGGTTTGGTAGATGGGGAAACATGCACAGGGCATTGCTCGGGGTGGGCTGAAGAGCCAGGAAAGATTATCCCACTAAACGACCACGGCTCTCTGGGAGTGCAGATGTGTCCATGCACAGTGGATAATCCTTTATCACATGCAGTTCAAGTGATTGCTCTCTCCTCTGCCAACATATCTACTTGCTACAGCCTTCAAAGAGATTTTGATGGTGAATTAGAGTAAGCTTGTTAAGTTGTAGGTATGCTGTATTTTAGACTGGCTCTGTGATGTTGGATCCTCATGGAAGTTAAGCATAAGTAAAAGGCACTTTCTCAATGTTGCTTTAAAGCATTCGGTCATGTTAAGAGCAGGTTAGTGGGTTTACACTGATTCATGCTACCGTACGCTAGTAATCAAAGATTTTGTTAGTTTCCAGCATTAAAATGAGTAAATCCCAAAATTTTCTAACAGGGTCATCATTGGATATGCATATATTTATCCATCACATAGGCAATTTGCCAGTACCTTTGGTAAAGGTATTTAGTTTACAAGGGGTACTAAGAAATGCGTAACATCTGTATGACATGTTAACCAAATGATATTTAAAGTGCATAAAAATACTTCAATACCTCTGTTCCATTTACACTTTTCCTAGATGTCAGTCAGTTTTATGATTAGATTCAGAGTTATCTTCCATTGTTGCTAAGGAGCTTGCTTTGCCCAGCTGGTACTCCTCAGGCTCTTCAACTTGTAAGGCCCTTCCATTTTTTCTGTCAAACTCAGCTGTAATCTCTACCAGAGTCTTCCCCTTAGTCTCTGGCATGGTTCGACCGAGCACAACAGCCGAGACCAGACAGACGACCAGGAAAGGTAGGAAGCAGTAGTTTCCTAACCCGTTCACAATGAAAGGGAACAACATTCCGACCAGGAAGAGGCTGATCCACATAAGCGAGCCGGCGACCATGTACGCCGCTGGCCGAGCTGTCTGGTCAAAGATCTCGGCTGGTAATATGCCCGTGACCCCTGCAGGGCCCAAGCCGAAGCTGAGGATGTAGGCGAACACACATGCCATGCTGAGGTACGGCATTCCTGTGACACCTTGGCTCTGAAGGGTGAGAGCAACAGTGAAGACGATGGTCCAACAAACCATGAGGCTGTACCCACCGATGAGAAGGTATCTGCGGCCCACCCGTTCAATCAGAACGTTACTCAACAGGGAAGCAGTAAACTCAGATGCCCCTGTTCCAATGGTGATATACTGAATTTTCTCTGGTGGAATCCCTGCTTCCAGAAATATATAGTATGCATAGAAGTAGATGGAGTCGTTGCCACAGAGCATCATGGCGCTGCTTGCAGTCATGACCGTCCTGAGCTGAAGTCGTAGGTTCGGATCTTTGAACAGAGACCACGGCGTCTTGGCAGGACCCGAAGAACCAGACTTTACGGCTGCAGACATTTGCTGCTCTTGAAGCATCTCCTCCATCTCCAGAGGGGGAACCTTTCCTCCACGCAATCTTCCAAGAGCCTGGACACAAGCTTCCTTGTCTCCACGGTCAATGAGGAGGTATCTGGGGCTTTCGGGAAACCAGGGCAGGGTGACTAGCTGTATCAATGCCGGCAAAGCATTGCTAGCTAGTAGGTAGGGCCATAGAGGCTCTGAACCCAGCAGCTCAGTTAGTCCGACAACTTGTCCAAAGAAGATTCCAAATGCAGTGAAAACAGCTGAGGAAAACGCCACGGCGCCTCTGAGGTGTTTGGGAGCACTTTCACCAAAGTACATGGGCTGGATGTTCATACTGACTCCGGAGTTAATCCCAACCAGGAAACGAGCGAGGATGATCATCTCAAATGACTTTGCCAACTTACATGTCAGCACAAGCACAGCACCGACCAGCAGGAAGGAGTTGTTCAAAAGTAGCGACACTTTCCTTCCAAAACGAACTGCCATAGGTCCTGCTAAAAGGGCCCCCAGCAACCCACCCAGGGAGAACGCCGAGACAATAAAGGTCCACAGTAGGGTCACTTGAGGAATATCCAAACCTGTTCCCCAGCGTTCCATGTATGTGTCATTGATGAAGTTCTGTATATAGCTGGTGGGGGCATTAATGATTGAGATGTTGTAGCCATACTGGAAAGTTCCTCCAATGGCTGCAAAGAACACAGTTAGTGCAAGAGTCCTGGCACCCCCTGCAGAATTCCCTCTTTCTTCTGTCTCATTTGTACCTGTGGAACTCATCTGGGTGCCAATCGTCTAATAACGTCCTATAGCTTTATAGTCAACACAGTCCTCTTATAGGCAGCTTGGAATTGCGAAACCTTTTCCTTTTCTTCACTAAAACAAATCATTTAAACCGTCTTGGGACTCTGTTGCCCAGCTTACCTTAACCTTGTCTGGGTGATACAAAGATACGGGAAACAATTTTTCTGCCGTTGAAGCCGGTTGAAAAAGTGCTGTTTCACCCAGAGTTTAGACTGTCAGGTAGTTTCCCGGCAGATATTCTAAAAAGGTTATTGCTGTTGTGACATCAGAAAAGTTTTCATACGAATATTCATATCTTGATACTTCAGTTAGGCATAAAGAGGGTGAAAATAATAACAACTGGCGCAAGAGATTAAGAGTACCTAAATGAAACCTTTTTTAAATGCTACCTGACAGTCTAAATTCAGGGGTAAAAATTTCACAGCTGAAACGCCTTCCCATGCTTCTTCCTGACTGCGTAACATGCGTCCAGGCTGTTGATTGGTTTATATCAGAGCAGTTTTATGGAGCCTTACGACACACTTTGATCTGGCCGACAGACGACCACGTGGCTTGTTGGAACAATTGTGAACGAGATAACGAAGTCCTTTTTTATTATTGAATTTAATTACACTTAACTAAATTGCTATGTCTCTTTATTGGAGGGGAAGAAGGTTTCCAATACAAAGTACAGTAACTATATTGGTAAATAAACCCATGAGTATTACATTAAAAGCACACACTGATATGTTACAATGAATTTAAAAAAATAAAACAAAAAACCACGTCATCTTTATGAAACACCTATTTTTCCCCACTCAACCTCACCTTGACACCTTGAAAGTTTATTGTTCAATAAACTTTCTTGTTCTAGGATTTATATCTACTTTCATGTACTGCTACTTTTCAGAACTAGAGCCCTCATTCCTACTTGCACACTTTTACCCTATGCATCACTATTTTCTTTCTCCATCCAGCCCCTGCAGATCTGATGAAGACATATGTGATTGTAGTTTATGCCCACCAGAGGGCATTGTTACTATGCTCTTGCCATACAGCTCATTTCTCTATGTAAGGTCTTTCTTGGATGGGTGGAAAAGGTGGTTCTGTACAAACCGAACAAAACTAGAATATTACAGTCTATTGGGGTCAACTCTAACATTGTCTAGAGGAGTCACTGTTTTCAGAAACTCACCAGGTCAAGGTGAAACATAGACCACCGATAACAGCATCAGCATTTTTTAATGCTCAGGTCAGAATCGGGTCACATTTCTGCCAGGTCCGGTGTGCTGGACCACCATGAATCAGCATTTGGATGATTTCAGCTATATTGCTTTCAGAAGCCTGGGCAATTTTTCTGCTTCTGTACTGAATCAGAATCAGGTCACCTTTGCCAATCTATTGCACCATGATGACTCAGTGCTGGGAGGGGCACAGCTGCAAGTTTCATGCTCATTCAGAAGCGCTTCACCTGGAGGTCTCATAAAACAGGATGAAAATGTTTGTTGTAGCTTGGATTCTCCTTTACGGTAAAATCTACCACCATTCATGTTCTCTGAATGTTCTACTAAAGCGTGTGGTGTTCTCGGTGCTGTCTTGTTTAATGTTCCATGAACTCTTTTAGAGAGGTGACTGTTCCTGGCGTCTCAGAAGTTTTACTAGGACTGAACTTAGATGTTCTCCAGCTATGTTCTCCACAAATACTGAAACAAAGACAAAAATTAGAATTTTCCCCCATAACCAGGAGAAATGGAACAAACTAACCTTTCTTTGATGGTGTGACCTGTTTCAGCTTGTTACCTGTTACAGTGTATGTAATCAGTCTGTGTTGATGGTTCTTGCTCCGGTCCTCACCTGATGCGGTAAAATAAAGCTTAAATTTATACTAGAAACATTACAGCAAACTTAGTCATACAGAGAGTTTTTAAAATAATATAAATATTGACATTCTGTTTATATTGACTCTATATAATGTGAACAAAGCTAACTCAGCCGAACCTGCCCTTGTTGTTAGACACAGACCTGTTCAGACTTGTTGCCATAGCAACTACCTTCCTTTTCTAGGGATTTCCCCAAAAGTTCCTGTTAAAACCACTTGATGACTAACTACTCTACCATGATGTCCAACATCTCTTCGCTCTCTTACAGCTACATGCCGTAACCTGTTAAGTTGTGACTGTGTAAATTATTTTAAGCCAGCAAAACCGGTCAATGTTAGTTTACACTCCTCCAATTCACAGTGTGATTCAAGAGTTCAACATCCTGCCAGAACCTTGCAGGTTTTCAAATAGTGCCAGATTTCAAAACACCAGCCTGGTTATATTTTATTCACAATTATGGTTCTTTAGGATACATGTCTTTTATGATTGGAGGTCTACCTAATACAAGCTTGAAACGGGTAACAACTGATTAATCTTTGCATGAATACAAAACCACCCAACTTTCTGATCCAGCTGATCAGAAAGTTTGACCCTTGTGCTATGTCAGTTCCATTTCACCTCGGTCTTATACTCTACTTTGTTTAATGTATACTTACAGCTTGCAAATGTAGAATATGTAAAAGGCAATGTGAAGACAGGAATGAGAACTCCTGCATAAAGACTTCAAAATAAGAGCAGGAAAATAAATTTCTAGTTGACAAAGTATTAATAGTTATCAACTTATTACATACATATTAATAAGCATTAAAGTTATTAAAATATGTTATCAAGTTGAAGTTGAAACTTCAACATGAGCAAAAGTTGGTTGTCAAGCTGACGTTGAACTTTGAACTTTTTACTGAAAGTTTAGAAAACAGACAAATTAGTGTCTTAGAATTTATCCAGAACAGTCAACCTATGGGAAGCTAAATGTGCTAAATGTCAGCTAAGAGTTACCAAAAACATTAAACCACTGAATGAAAAATTAGTTATTAGCTTCAATTAGCAGTTAGTACCGGAAGTATGTTCACTACTGCCTGCGACAGACTGGCGACCTGTCCAGGTGACCCCGCCTCTCGCCCGAAACGTTCGCTGGGGATAGGCACCAGCAACCCTCCTGACCCCATTAGGGACAAGGGTGTACAGAAAATGGATGGAAGGATGGATGCTCACTGCTGTACATAAACTTTACTTCTTTATTACTTACGTCATGCTAACATCCAGTCTTGGCTAATTGAAAATGTAGAAAAAGACAGTTGCCTGTGTTTCCCTCAGTTTCCCAGCATGCTTTGGGTGTGGAGGTGTTCGACAGCATGGAGTCGGTCCAGCTGCCCTGCCGGGTCAACGTCTCTGTTTCCATGGAGTCCACGGTTGTGTGGAGCCGCGAGGACCTTAGGTTTTCTACTGTTCACATCCATCAGCAGAGCGGCGATGATCTGTCTGAGCAGAACCAGCGGTACAGCAATAGAACAATGATGAGCAAGGATGCTCTGCAGACCGGAGACCTCAGTCTGACTCTGAAGAACCCTACTGTCTCTGACAGTGAGACATACACCTGCACTGTCCGCAGGTTCGGACGGGAATTGAGCCGTATCCACGTACATCTCCAAGTAAAGGGTTGGTGCGGATCCAAGTCATTGTGGGATTCTATAGTGTTGCTAGTTACTCAGTTCCTGACAGAACCTTAGATGTTTTCTTTGTGGTTCCTGCAGAACATCCTCATCCGACATGGTTGATACCTCTGGCAGTGGTGCTGATTCTATTTTTCGTCCTGGCTGCTGTCTTTGGTTTGGTCATCTATAGGAGATACAAGAGGATAAAACGTGATCCAGGTATGCAACCTTGAGATGGTACCTGCTTCATGTTCAGACTGACACCTTTAGACAAAGTCTGACTAAATGTAGCAAGATGAGATGTTCTTCACCATCACCTCAGACCCTGACCTTCAGCTGTCGATTGACCATGCTCTCTCGCTCATTCCTCAGTATACAAGCTGCAAGTGGTGAAGACTGCAGAGGGGGTGGAAGCTGTTGTCCTGCCCTGTAAAACCAAAGTTCATCTTCCTCCCACGGCAACAGTAGAGTGGAGACGCATAGACACGGACCAGGTGGTCCACCTGTATCCAAGCATCCAACTGCATTGTCCTGAGACGGTTAGAGGTCTTACACAGATGGAGGACAATCCGTTAAGAACCAGAGATCTCAGTCTGACTTTGTACAGCCCCAACCATTGCGACAGCGGTCTCTATGTCTGCACCGTCCAAAAGGGAGGAAACAACCTGAAGCAGAAGGTTGTGTCTCTCTTTGTTGAAGGTTAGCTCTGTGAATACTTCTCTGTCCTGTTCTCTAAGCTGGTTTAGAAACTCTTCCTGACACCATGTGGAGCAGATCATAAATGATCTGATGATGCAGAGGTGAGAGTCTACCCATTCAATTATTTAAAAGATGTGGAGGCAATCCAACCCTCTGCTTGACCAAGTAGAAGCCCAAGACTATTTCTGAGCCACTCCTAGTCTGACCAGACACTAATTCCCTAACACATCTGCTGTTAACTGGTGCTGTGTAAATTGAAGAGAATGTACAGCAAGTGTATTTTGCAAAACTGCAATGGAAAAACTTTTTTTGCACCACAAGTCACATGACCAACAACCAGATGCTGCCACTGGGGCAAACCATGAAGAAGACAACTACGAGAAACTAGTAGGATAATGGGGCAGCATGTTTTTAATGCCACTTCATGTGTGATTTTAATTGCGTTTCTTATTTAATGGAAACACAACAACTGCGAAATTGTGTTTGTTCAACTTCAGCAGAACACTGATAAAATTTTGCACACATTTGTAACAACAACTGACAGATTTTAAATATTGGTAGTTGCTTAGATGCTTGGTTTCATTGTTCAGAATTATTTTTAATAGTTGTGTGTGGTCCACAGAACATCTGATTTGGTCCGACACGAACTCCGACCAAACCGACCACATGCTTGAGAGGAACAGCCTGAGACAGAGTCTGAAGAGCAGCCTTGGAGGACGATTTTACTACGATCAATCTTCTCCCTCTTTGTCCGTACACCATTATCTGTTCTTCTTTTTTTGTGTAGCAAAGCTTTCCCACGTCCACAGGACCTGTCTCTGCTGTAAATTTGTGCTGATTAACTGTCTTGTGTCTTCAGCAGGGCTTACGACAGAGGCGCATCTCTGCCTAATGGAGCACACATGGCAGAGTCGACTCCAGAAGCCTGCAGAAGGCTACCAATTTTCCAGCAACTGACTAAATCATCAGTGAGATCGGCCAGCGAACTGTCTTTCTCTAGTCTCCCGCCTATGTAACATTTCTGCAGAGAGGAGGATCGAATGGTTGGACAGACCTCCACATGTGGACATGTCTGTTGTGCTGGATATCTCCACTTGTCCCGGTGTTCAAGTTCTGCAGAACCCAGCCGGCTTTTTAGAAGACCTCCAAGTCAAGTATATGTGCAGCCTTCACTAGTCATGACTCTTCCTCCTCCATGCTTCCCTTTGGCTGTACATTGACTCTTTTTTTAGGAAAATTATTTTTTGTTGTTATTGTTGTTTGCTACATAAAGTATTTTGTCTGAGTAAAGTTTTTGATAAATTTGAACGGATGCCATTAAAAAGGTTGAAGCTCTTCAGTGTCCATTCATATTTCACCACTCATTGTTTCATTTGGACCGGAGGGCGAAAGTAGACAAAAACTGACCAGTTTGCATTGAGAACCTAATTATAAAGAATAATTTTAATCAGGTCAGCTGAGAATCACACATCAGCGCTGCAGCAGTAACAGGATGCATAAATGTTAGGTCAGACAGGATGCGAAACCAGAGATTGTACTACAAATGTGACAGAAGTTTGTTTGTTTGGAGATGGAGTGTTGTTCTGATGACAGGAAGTGGTGCAGGACATCCTTCTGTCATCCGCTCTGATTTTCAGTCTCCATCCAGACATCATGAAGCTTCCATCAGTGTGTCTGCTGCTCGGTGAGTCCAGAACCAGAACTTGTACAGCCATCTCTCCGTCCGTCTGTCCTTCCAGGGTCACAGCAGGTTCAGCTAACGCATTCAGATGAAGTGACACCCTGAAGAATTGATCAGAATGGTTCCGAATGGTGATGAAGATGGAAATGAAATAACGCGATGCTAAATTTTGCCCCAGCTTTATACTTATGTACCTAATAGTTATTTTATTATCATTCTAGAATTTGTTTGTTACATTGTGAGTTTGTTTTTTGTCAGTTTTTGTTTGTCTGTCAATGTTCAGGTGAATAGATTTACTTGAAAATCCTTATAAAGTGTTAAAAAAAACTCCCTCTGAATGTAACCAATCACCTCTTCTTTTTTGGCTGACTGCGGATCTTCAAACCTTTGTGTTTCAGGAGTCTCAGCTGTTCTGCTGGCAGGAGGAACAAATTCTGAAGGTTGGATAATTTGTATGCTTATACCTATGAGGAGGTAGTGAGGTAAATGTTCAAAACTTGACGTAGTGAACATTTACCTCGCTATATATGGAAACGTACATTCCATCTCCCCTTTAGCGCATTAACTCTTTTCAGAAATGCCAAAAACCACTTTAGTTGAGCATAAAACTTTTGTTTTCTAAATTGAGGAAGTTACTTTGAATTTTTCTGTTCCATCAATCTTTTCTAACGCAATTCCTCAAAACGGGCGTATAAAATGTTGATCGTAACACGGCTACTGATGGTGGTGACATACAAATGATTGAGATAGAACTACTACTGTAAATGGCTTCAATGGAGAACACATGAGACAGTCAAAATATCTGAGTACCGTCAACATAGAAATGTTTACGATACAGGACCCTGTGGTACTCCACAAGTAACAAAATGCAATCTGCCAGACAAATATGATCTGTTCCCACAGGATGTTGGATCCTCTTACTGGTTTATGTGACAAATATGGCTTGAGATTCTAGAAATTCCTCTAGCTGACTGAAGAAATAAATGCTAAAATTATTTCTTTTATCTTCCCATTTGTCCTCCAGTGTCTCTGATTGTCATGCCAGACCTTCAGCAGTTCTTCAGTGGACAGTCAGTGTCTCTGAGTTGTGTTGAGGATGGACAGACAGCTGATGGATGGATAGTTAAGAGGACCAAAGGAACACTCAGTGAAACCTGTGGAGCATCTGGATCAGACTTTGGGGTGTTTAAAGACTCCTCCTGTGTCCTTGACCTCTTGTCTTCTTACACTGGAGTTTACTGGTGTGAAACCAGTGCAGGACAGAGGAGTGACCACATCAATATCACTGTTAACCAGAAAGAAGGTATGGTATTTTGCTTGGTTTGAGTTCTTCAGCTTCATTTGTTTGGATCCCTGTGCTTGTATTGTTGGGACCAAAAATATTGACTTCTGTTATTCTTTTGAACACTTAACTCTGTGACTTTAGTGAAGTATGGTCAAGTGGTCATATTCTCGGCATAAATATGTTGTAGAAAGTGTAGTAATCTGAGTGAGAGGGGTTGCTTAGGAATTCAATAAAAGTGGCCAAGAGTGGAGCCTTGGGGTCCCTCACAAATTATCTTTGTTAGCTCATCATTATATTAAGAAGGGACAGAATAATCCTTGTCTATCAAAAAATATCAGAGCCAGTTGAGGATATTATGAGACAATTCTTACACATTTCCCATTCTAAGATCAACTGTCCAGTAAAACTAGGACAGGTTTTTGATGGAGTGCTGACAGGAAATTTTATCCAAAACCTTTATAAATGCGGTTGTTGTCCCAAGTAAGAAAAAGATAACGGAAAGATTTTTTAATCAAATGTAATCAAACTTGTCTTTGGCAAAATTGTGGGGACAGATATGGCTGGATATGGATATTGCTGGCAAAGATGTTGTTTGGCTGTGCATTTGTTTTGTTGCAGTGGATGATGATTGCTTACAGTTTCCAGCACCTTTCTTTAAGCTGCCACATTATGTACTTCAGAGTTGTCTATGTTCAGCTACGTACATTCATTTTGCCCCCCCAAAAAACTCGATCCCCCCGGGCAAAGAAATGTTGTTGAATAAGACAGCTATTTGAAATCCACCGGTGGGGCAGGAAAAAAAGTTTGGGAACCGCTGATGTACTTCATGTTAAAATGCTACCAATTGGGTAAAAATCATTTAAAACTTTAACACAGTCCCGCAAGCAATTGTGTCTCAATAGCCAAGGGTCCAGACATAGAAAAGCATAGAATAAAGGCTTTTTTTTTTTTACCAGAAGGGGAACACAGCTAAGGAGAGTTATCAAAATCTGTTGGAACCACATCGACCTTTTCTGAACCTGACATTGCATCATCATGATGTTTGTGACGGGATAAACATCTGTGTCTCTATATTCAGACAGGGCTTTTATTCTGGAGATCCCTGCTCTTCCTGTGGTGAAAGGAAGTAATGTCACTCTGCATTGTCGTCATAAAGATGGCTCCATCCGTGCAGCTTATTTCTACAGGAACAGTCATATTATTGGAGATGGAGTCAAATCTCAGAAGGCCATTATCCACAGAGTCCAACAGTCCAATGAGGGTTCCTACTGGTGTTCTACTGACACTTCTGGATCATCCCCTCATAGCTATCTGAGAGTCAGAGGTGAGGATAGTGACATCACTTCCTGTGTCCAGACATGGGCTGATGATTGATTTCACTTCATTTATGTACCCTCAGTTCACAATACATATTGTCTCACTGTGTAGAACATGCTGATAAAAGTCTATTTACAGAAATATGTAATAAGATCATTCCGGTACTACATACAGATACATATGGAGAAGCATTTATAATTATACTATCTTATTTATGAAAAGGTTGAGTTTATTATCTCAACTGGCATAATTTCTAAGAAAACAGCCGATTTCATCGCTAACTTTGCAGCAAATCCTCCCTCTGACCAGCAGGTGGTGACTGCTTTAGTGAGCAAACGTATCTTTCATCTCTATCCAGATCCTCTTCTCCCTCAACCATCTTCCTACCCCATGACAGCTTCCACTTCTTCAGCTGATGGTGCTAATCATACAGCAAGTTCTCCTTCTCCTTCTGTGTCATTGGTGCACCTCCTGTGCCACCTGCTGGTCATTTGCCCATACTGCGTGTGCAGCATCCTGCTTGCTTCAATCTGCTGCAACAGGAGCTCAGGTAAATAATTTTAACCTGTGACAATATCTCTACAATAGCGTTGCACAGATGATGTTTTCATGATATTTACACTATTTGAGATGTATGTGCACAAAAGTCACTTCGAAGGTGACGAAGTGAAAATGACACATCAGCAATGAAACTGACTGGATCACACATTCTGATCACTTCCTGTTAAAATTCTATCCTTTCAACCCTGCAGGAAACCAAGCTGCGGTCTCCATAGAAACCACCCAGCTTGGTGAACCGGGTGATGTTGCTGCTGATGTCACTACAGAGCATGAGTTCTGATGGAGCGTGAGCTGCAGGTTTGGGGTGCATGTCCGGCTGCTTCGCCACAAACAGGAAGCCTGGACCCGAACCCAACCAATCAGAGCAGCTTTTGAAATGAGGTTTCACTTCCTGCTCAGCTTCTTCTGAGTGAAATAAGACCTACTGATACTTGGACCACCAGAAGCACCAAACTGCTCTGTATTTTCAGCTTGACAGCATCGCTCTAGGGGAACTGATATGTTTGAACTGGGTCCATCTTATTTATATTGAGATTTGGTTTCTACAAGTCTATTTTAAAATTTGAACGAGTTGTCGATTAATGGTTTATTAGGTTAAAATTAGTTACATTCTTCTAATTAATGACATCTTCTTAGACCAGTAGTGCCCAAAGTCGGTCCTCAAGGGCCAGCATCCTGCATGTTTCCTGCTGGTTTAATGCACCTGGATCAAAATATGGCTCATTAGATGACCTAAGAGGAACACTGACATGCTGAAAGGTTGTTACTACCACCAGGGAGAGAACTAAAACATGCAGGATGCCGGCCCTCAAGGACCGACTTTGGGCATCCCTGTCTTAGATATTTCTTTAGTGTTGTAGTTTGGCCGCCAACCAGCAGAGGGCGATGTTGGTAATCCTTACTCGGAACAAGAATTAAAGATGGCGGCGATATCCCAGAACAGGGAAACAAACGGTCCGTTGTGGCAATTTATGCGATTCTGTTTTGACATATAAACACTGGACAAGCTCCATAAGCTACCACCTTAAATAGAGCTGGATGACGGAGCATCTTCAACTTCTCGACTAAAAATTACTGAGGTATGTGACATGAATA